TTCAAATAGAACAGAATAAAACGTACCGGTGCGGATCCACTATTGGGTCCTCTGGTCTTCACCAGTTTTCCCAGCATCTCAAAGCCGTCGGTCGGTAGGCTGCCTAGAGGGCGGGCAGGCCTCTCACCCACATGCTGGCAGTCCACAGACAGGGACACACTCACCTGGCTGACCGACAGGTGAACCTGCCAATCACAATTATGATATTAGAACCAGGTAGTCAGGGGTTCCCCCTCTGCCCCAGAGCACCTAGTTCCTCCTACCATAACTCTCTTAGTCTTAATTTGATTCGTGTTTGGGATCAGAAACTCTATCTTCTGGAAGTCGTACTGAATGTAGAAACGCGTGTATCGTGTCTGCGTGTTCACTCAGAGAAAGTTTTGTCTCCAATTGCAGCAATCAGGTGCTAATGTTTTTGAAGTACCTTAATGGCCTCCTTGTGTGTGTCATTATCACCGCGGCAGCTCCGACTGTTAACGAGAGGGAACAAATCAGCTGAACGAACTACTAAAAATAACCTGTTTTTAAAACTTTTCCCCTCGCACACTGCCTCATATCTCTCTCTATTTCCTTCTTTGCTTTTAGTCGTTATTACATGTATTTTCCTCAGCCCCTCTAGGGACAGCTGCTGAGATTATACTGTATGCGGAGTCTATCTCAAACCACCTCTTTCCAACATGCTCTTCCCTTTTATTACATGTCTTATTGGAGAGCACATAAAGATGACAAGGTAGCTGGTGGAAATAAGTATATATATATAAAACATGACATGTTTTGGCTGAATGACAGTGAACGTCTTATTGACATCCAAGACTTGCTCAGTGTTTATTATCTCACCTTGTGAAAACTGCCATAGAACAGCTGGTGGACCTGCCGCTGGTCAAAGGTCAGCTCCTGCACTTCTCCCCTGTAGTCCAGGCTGAAGTACACCAGAAGCTTGGTGGTAGCTGTGGGGAGCACAACAAGACAGGAAGATCAACCTCGAACTCACACGATGTCCTGCATAAACCACAGGGACTCCGAAGAAGGTAAAAGTCTGCAGCAAGGTGTTGTGATCTGGCTGTGTGTGAGGAAGAGACATAGATCATTATGACACAATCCCACATACAGCGTCCTACTGACGGAAAAACTGACTGACTGCAACAAATGTGTTTAAATAGTCCCCAACAAATGCAGTATTTCCTCCTGTTTTAATGTCTGTTAAGAACTACAGTGCTCAGCTGTTCAAGGAAAGTACTGAACATTAAAAAAAAGAGTATATTTATTTTTACATCTTTAGTGGCACAGACAGTAAGGAAGAGGGTTCTGGTACTGAGCTGCCGAGTGTTGGAGATATCGGCCCGAGAGATGTCTAACTTCTCTCCATCACACTGGATCTAGATGTCGCTCGGTTTGAAGTGGTCAAAGCATTTGCAAAAACTCAACTGTCATGTCTCTGACCAGAAATCATGACCCGGTTACTCAAGATAACCCACAGACCCTTGTTGTGAGCAGTTTCATGTAGGAACTACTTTCTTTCTACCAAACTACACCCACCAACCGTATCACTGCGCAGAAGGAAGCGTCCAAAATATATTCATCTTATTATCACGTTCCACAAAGAAAAGCAGCAAATCCATAAAATTGAGAAGCTGGGAACATTCGGTAATGTTGATTGTAAAAAAATGAAAACAACTACTCTGAAAATACAATGTAGATTATGTTGTTTACTAAAAATCATTGTTTAATTGCTCCCGCTCTATATAAAACCATAAACCGTACTCAAAACATAACAGAAAGGCAGGTCTCTGAGAAGATGTTAAGAAGTGACTTCAGCCATGTTATGAGAGTTGGTCCAGTTTCTAGAGGTCCCGATGGCAAATTAAGACCGTGTGACCAAAGATGAGACTACAGGGACTATGGAGTTCCTTGCAGTTTGGGAGTTAGAGGGATGCAGAGATGTCACTCACGGTCGAGCACCACTCCCATCTTGGGCTGGAAGTCGTTGTCAGTGAGCTGCCAGAGGGCGAAGGGCTCCCGGGGAGTATCCTGCAACACGCGGAAGGCCATGCTGATGGTGTGTTCTGGAGAGAAACCTGCAGGGTGGATGAACCTGGAAGGGGGGAGGGAAATAAAAAGGCAAAGAGGACCTGCTTTAAAGACGCAGTAAACATGTTTGCAATTGCTGGTGCTACATGTAGTTCCCTCTCTCTCTCTCTCTCTCTCTCTCTCTCTCTCTCTCTCTCTCTCTCTGCCGATTTCCTGACTATCACTATCAAATAAAGCAAAGAGCATAAAAATGAATCTTAGATAAAGCGAATTATCTTGCTGACTGTCTCGTTTAATTATATAGGTCATATAGAGGTATCAGTATTAAAGTGAGACTGTTTCATAACCAGTTCAAAGTTCCTCACAGTCACTTGAATGTGGAGCTGCCTTCATGGATATTGGTGTAGAAACACACAAAAGAAAAGCAGTAGGAGAGATGATCTCACTTGGTGCTCTGTGTCAGCTGCACGTCTCTGTACAAAGTGTAGGTGGGGAGGGTGTTGAAGACAAAGGGCTCGGCTGCCACGCCCTCCACAGACGAGTGGGCTCTCTTTGTCAGACCGAAGGCTTCCATCATGTCAAATCCTGAGACGATGACAGAAAAAACAATGAGGTGTAACTTTTAGGACACAGGGAGAGATTCTCATTGTTCTAAATCTGATGTATCAATTATTCAAAAAGCTTGGCGCTTTATCTGTGCGAGGACAGCTTGTCTCACCTTTGACAATGCTGTTTCTGATGGTGACTTCAGGGCAGACTGTAACACAACACGGCAGCGTTGAATCGTTATGAACAAGTCGGAGAAACAGCCTTTTCAGTCCACAAACAATATTCTAGTCTCACTATGGGCTCCAGGTACACTACAAGGAATTTAATGTTGATTATGTCTCAAGGAAAGAACTGCTACTGTTTTAATTTAATTTGTAAATACCTTTTGTTGTATGTGGAACACCAATAAATGACTGTAATGTCAATTGTTCAACTGTTTGGTAGTGTTCTGTAGTTATTTTGACAGAAAATGTGATTTTCTTACAGTGTACCTGGTTGAAAACTACACATTTAGTATCGTGTGGCCTGCGACTCTTTATATCTTTCTGTATATGGCCCACAATCAAAACAGTTTGGACACCCCTGGTCTAGAGGATAAAATAAATGAAAACACCAATGTAGTCCTCAGGACTGCAGGACAACAACAAGTCCCCAAGAGATAAAACTAATTCCTGTGCTCATCAGACTCATCTCTACGGAGGAACATAACTGCCCTCACCTTCGTTGTGGACGGGGTACATCCGGGGATGGATGGGAATTCTGGCAGGGGCTGTGACTGACACATTTAGCAAACAAGAAGAATGTTAAGAAGTTTACAGATATTTGTATTGAGGTTCAGTATCAATCTATACATACAAATTACCACTGGGTGAGCAACATAGAAATAATTTACTCCCAAATGTTATATTTGTATAATAAGCAGGTGTTGGCCAGCTTCAACATATTGTCAGTGTTACTGCGATCGGGTCAGACCTGTTGGGTGGAGAAGGGAGACAGCGGCGCCCTCTGCTGAGCCGAGAAGCGAGTGCACGCTGATACGATACAGAGTCTCTGGTTCCAGATCAGTGAAGCAGTGACTGCTGCTGGACTCATCCACAGTTTCTTCCTTTGCTTGCTTGTCTATACACAATGCACACAGAGACAGGACATATACACACCAACGTCATTGTCATTGCACAGAGTACAGGTACTGAGACAACGAAATGCAGTCTGGCATCAAACCAGAAGTTCAAAAAGCAGTGCAGAGTGATGTAGAGAGTATATACAGAATAACAGGGAATGAAGAGAATGTCCTTTTCATGTCCTAGCTTTCTCTCAAAGGAGGTTACAGTTACTTACAGTTCAAACTGTGACAAATTACTATTATTGGCCAGAAAATGTATTCTGATTAACTGGAACAAGGATAAGCCTACTGCCGCTTTATTAAAGAATCCCTGCAGTTCTGAAAGGTCCTTCACTGAAAAGTAGCCTGGGGAGTTTTAGTCCTGAGGGAATAATTCTCCTTGCAATGAACTCATAAGTTGCTCTTCAACTCATTGCTTCTATACTGCTATGTGGTAGTGTTTTAACTCAACTTCATTTTCTCCCTCATGTATCACTGTGTGCTATTCTGAAATGTTAAAGTTGGTGTCACCATCATACATGGCTGTCTGTATGCAGGACGACATGTGTGCAACACTAAGGTGAGGGAAATGGCACTATTTTATTATTATTTTTGTGGTTATTTTTGTGAGCTATAGATATGATGAAATGTAAAACGCTTGTTTCTGTTGCAAACCAATAAAATTCAGTTAGAAAAAATAAAGAATAAATAGAATGTGGAATAAACAGCGAGGGGGTATGAATACACCGATATGAGCAGTATGAATAGTATTAACAATGTGGAAAGAACCCGGGCTACTGTCGCATGTTTACACCAGACTATCTGCGCTGGCGCTGCTTCAGCCAAGTGACGGGGCAGAAACACAATGGCAGCAGTGAAAGCATCTCACTTCTGGAAGAGTTTTGTCTCCTCTTTGTCTCTCCTGTAAACTCATGTCCATGTAACCACACTCAGTTACTATCGGTTTTCACGATAGATTACCTTTGACAGACTGGATGACTATACGATATCCATCGACAGCAGACACGGGCCTCCAAGACACACAGATACTGGAGTGGTCTGACCTGACCACACTCACACTGCTCACCCGCAGACTTGCTGGAGAGAGAGAGAGAGAGAGAGAGAGAGAGAGAGAGAGAGAGAGAGAG